GGAATTCCGATCAAAAGCAGCGATCATCGACAAGATCATTTTAATCAACTGTACTTTACTTTTCAACTCGACTTGATTTGAACGCTTCTTCGCCCCCTTCTTGCTGCACTCTCCTGCCCTTGGCCACATCGGCGAGTAATTTCTACGCGCACGCGTGCACCTTCTGCCGACATTCCTGCTCTCACGCGGAATTGCTCTCCAGCGGAAAGATTACTTTGCCAAGCCACAGCTGGAAAGCTCAAGAACAAGCAGTCGCGCTCCTCTTGTCCTCCCTCCCCCCATAGACCTTCGATCAGGTCACGGTTGCAGCTTGACTGTACCCCCAAAACGCTCTCGACATCCACACGCGGCATCTCCTGCCTCCTGCTTGGAATTTCAACTGGCTTCTTTCCTTCACCAGGCATCAGCATCGGCAGTATCATCATCTTGATCCTGCCACACATCCGTTCATTCTTCTACTCGATCATCTCGTATCATCGACTTTTCCTTTCTTCGCTATATCTCTCGACCTGAACCTTCAACTTAATTTTCAACCGAATCAACACCACGTCCTTTCCCACCCAACCTTTTGGCCTCGTGTCACCAGACTCATAACGGATTTTGGATCTCGTTTCTCTTCTTCTTTGGCAATCAGCCACTACCTCCCGGCAACTCGATCGCCTTAATTCTCGTTGTGCAGTCTCTCCCACATCGCACATTCCACCGACTACACCTCTTAATCTGACCTGGCGTCCACACATTGTGCTCGACTCGTCTCACATTCTTTTCTGTCAGCTCGAACTTGACAAGCACGCCCATCTTCCCACATTCATCTGCGCAATGGACGCAGCTGGTCTCGCACAAATGAACACCAACAACTTCAACAACCAGTCCAACGGGCTTGCCACGCCCGCCTCCGGACTGGCTTCCCGCCGAGGCGGCCAGAACCTCAAGCCTCTCTCCCTGGCTTCGCCTCCCGCCGGCCAACGAGACAACGGCGTTCCCACCCCACGCACGAGCCGCTCTCACCTGCTCGCTGGGCTTCGGACGGCCCCCAAATCGGCCACTGCCTCCACCTTTGCGAACTCTTCAAGCATGGCCTCTCCCACTGCCCAAACCTTCAGCAACCGCAACAGCATCGCTGGCAGCATCTACCCACAGGGTACCAATGCCTACACTGCTCCCAAGACGGCTCTGCCCCAGTATGGCCAGCAGCAGGCGTACAACCAGATGATGAACATGAACCAGCAGCAGCAACAATTCACAACTGAGCAGGTCCTCGCTCCTCCTGAGATCCACGTCGACGATCAGGACCAGATGGATCCCCAGCTGTACGCTCAGCTGGTCGCCACCAACATGTACCTGGCCCAGCAGCAGCGGGCTCTTCAGCAAGAGCTCCTCAATATCCAGGTAGCTGCTCAGCAGTTCCAGGGCCTTAACATCGGCGGTGCTCAGCAGCAGATGCAGATGCAGATGCAGCAGCAACAGATGGCAATGTACCAGCATCAGCAGCGTGTGCAGTCTATGCAGCAGTCCATGCTTGGCACTATGGGTAATCAGCAACAGATGCAGCAGCAGCAGCAGCAACAAGTGTACGCCTACGTCGATCCCATGACCGGACAGACCAAATACTACGTTGACCCCAACGCTGGGCAGTCCAACATGGCAGCCTTCAGTGAACAGTCTCAGCTTGCTCAGGGCTACGGAAGCCATCAGCCAACGCCGCAGAACAACACGCCTCGCGTCCAGGTCTCCCCTCCCGCCGAGAACAACACGACTCCTTTCTTCCGCAGCAACTCGCCTCCTAAGCGCAACGAGTCGCCCATTGACGTCGCTCCTCTCCCTCCCCCATCCGCCAACGCCTTCCGTCGCGGCCACAAGAAGATTGTCTCCCTCGCGATGCCCAACCTCAACAACTCGCTCGCCCTTTCCAACGATGCTCCCAAGTCCGCTGGTCCCCGGACCGCCTCTTTCCCAGTCACGCCGCTGACTGGTGGCTACGGACCGGGCCAGGCGCGTGCTGGCGAGCACCCAGTGCGCCAGCCCCGTGGCCCGCCCTCGATTGAGGAACTCAAGGCCAAGCCTACCACAAAGCACGAGGGCAGCAAGAACTTTGCGGCTCGCACCCGTCGATGCGCAGTTCACAACCTTGTCCGCGCCGGCCGGGAGAGGAGAAAGGGAACTGGCAGCTCGAGCGGAAGCATGAGCCCCGTTTCCGAGAGCGCTGAGGAGGTGCACACCCCCATCACTGACAACGAGTCTGACTCCGGGCGTAGTGGCTCGGGTAGCCTGTCCGGTGACATGGAGTGCTCCCTGCCTAGCTCGCGCACCTCCACCAACGGCAGCTGGGGTGCTATCGGGTCCGACCGCCCGGGTTCGCGCCAGAAAACGCGCAAGAGCCTCGATAGCATCAGTAGCGCCACGTCGGGTTGCGAGTCGGAGAGGGATAACTCGTTTGCCAGCGTGTTCAAGAACGCCGGCCAGAAGTCCGAGGTCGAGATGGCCGAAGGCCAGCGCAAGGCGCCCATGCTGGTCCTGACAAGCGCCGAAAAGCGCAAGAGCGGCCCGCTGGCCATGCCCTGAGGGCTCGATTGGCCATTTCTTCCAGACGTACGTAATGACGACCATGCGCCTTCATGTCTCTCCTTTTCCATGACCTGCTTCCCGGGGAGGGCGGGGTAGATCCCTAGCCCCCCGATGGTGAGCAGGCTCCACTCCACGATCGGCCAGGGTTCATCTGTGTACGACTTTTTTACGGTGTTCACTTCACGCGGCGTTGGTTTCACTTTGGCCTTGCTTGTCGCTGAGCTTGGTTCAAGACCATCGCCCAACCAAGTTTTCAATTCGACTACCCTCGCCTCGCGATGGCGAGGGAATTGGGCAATAAATTAGAGGCCCACTGATGAGGGGAACAGGCTTGATTTGTTGATAAGAGGCAGAGAGTGTGTGATACCACGCGAGCGAAGGGTACTTGGACCGAAACTGCCAGGCTTTTGGAGACGGTCCTCTCCTCGTCTGGAAAGGGGTTTTTGGGTTACTGGCTTTCTGTTTGTTTGTTTGTTTTTGTTTGTTTTCCTGCGCTGCGGACATGGGCGAATGAAGTTTCGCGGGTGAGGGCGTCAAACCGTTGCATTCTTCATGCATGGATTTCCCCAGCTGGAGCCAGCGTCCCCCCAACAGCTATCGGGTCGGACCGAGTGTCCTACGCCGCAGCGTGCTGGGGGTGTAAATAGATAGTTTAGGACGGCACAATAAATTGGATGCCAATCATGTTCCTGATCCATGGCGAGAGGCCGCGCAGTGCCACAGTCACCTGTCATCTTCTACCCCAATGTGCTAAGCCTCGTCCTCCTGGCCGCGCCTCGCTTCTAAGAGCTGCTGGAATGCCTCCCTCTTCGCGTCATCGATGTGAGCATATTCCTTCGCGGGCCCGACGAGGATCTCATCCTGTTCGCCACTCTCGAGGGCCACCCACATTTCATCGATAAAATCCGCGAGTGGCATCCCGATGGGCGCGAGGCCTTGTCGCGTGTGAAGCTCAGTCTGCACGGCCGGCGGCACAATCTCGACAACCCTGACGGCGTCCTGGCCGGACTGCCGCTCCTCGTCCCGGAGCTGCGCCCGCACCTGCCAGACGAGGGCGCGCAGCGCGGCCTTGCTGGCGCAGTAGTTTGCGCAGCGCGCAGCGGCACGAGGCCCAGTGCCGACGTGACGTAGTACAGGGCAGCGGGGCGGCCGGCGGCGGCGTGGGCGCGCAGGTGCGGCAGGAAGAGCAGCGTCGTGTGCAGCGGCGCGAGGTAGTTTGTCGTCAGCTCGGCCGTCGTCGCAGCGAGGACGTCGGCGGTGGCGGTGGCGGTGGCGGTGGTCGGGGGCCCGAGGGGCAGGGCGTGCTGGACTCCCGCGTTCAGGAACAGGGCCGTCACGGCCGGGTAGGTCGCTGTGATGCGGGCCGTCCAGTCGGGCAGCGAGGCGAGGTCTGTCACGTCGAGGGGCTCGATGGCCAGGTGGGCGGGGCCGTGTTTGGCGAGGAGCGCTTCGAGACGCGCCGTCGTGCGGGCGATGGCTACGACGGATATCTTGTTCGCCAGGAGGCGCTCCGTGAGCGCCAGGCCTATGCCTGACGTGGCGCCCGTGATCAGCACCTGCTTGTGGGGGAACGGCATACTGGTTTTCGGTCTCGGCGGCGGCTTTGCAGGTGGTCTGTCGTTGGGCTGACATGATGGTGGGGGGCAGCGAGCGGACGTTGGCTTCCATTTGATCGTGAGTTGCGCGAGTGGGGTGAGGGGTCAACGGGACGCGGCTTCACCAGCCGGACATATGGCGGGATGATTTTGGTCTTCTCTTTTTAGTGTGTCTCTCTGACCATCGCGTACTGAATTCTCGATCCCAAGAACGAGACGCTTGAGTGGTGACGATCTGCGCGATCACTCATTGGGCTGAACTGGGAAGAAGTGAGTATTGTTTGGTCTCTCAAGCAGGTGAGAACTTGATGCACAACACCAAGAGTGACAGAATAAAGGATATTTAGAACAGGAGCTTCAGGAAGACAACGTAGAATGCGGCTGGCTAAGCTGAGTCCGTGTTAGTCATCAACATCGATTGCTGTGGTGTTCGGCGAGGACAGCTCTGTGACCCGAATCCTAAGACTCAAGGCCAAAGTCGAACAGGTAATGGCTGGCGACGGCGGCTCATCCTCGAGTGAAGTTTTCCTAGCGTTTTGATTACATAGCAGAGTTCCTGCCCATCATGTTCATGCCAAGCCTATCGTAAACATTTCGACGAAGGACACGATGATGGAGGTTTGCAATGTCTATAGGTACGACGAGAGCGAGCGTGACCTGGTGAAACTTTTGTTATTGAAGGCCCCAATCTTCTTGTGGAAGGCTATAATAATCTCCATCTGCCTCAAGACCGACTTCCACAGTGTCCCCGCAGCCGACATTGCAGCCATGAGTCCGAGTATAGCATACATCGAAGACACAAGGGCGAATGCGCCCCCCAAACCAGACTGCCGAAGACAGGATAATGCCAAGGGTCTGCTAAACCATGTCTACATGTTCACACAATACGATTCGTGTAGACCGATGACTTATCGCAACACATGCTATACACGACTCCGCGAAGGCAGCCGAGTAGTTGCTACTACATGTTCCTCGATATTATGATCTCCGAACTGCCCGGGGCTCAACTTTCCAGACACAGCGCGAAGTAGAACGCTGCAACTTTCTGCTGCCAGATGCCAATGATATGCATTCGAATATGAATGACAGAAGGTTGTGCGTGCATCTGTTCACCCCCTAGGTTACCTGTGACATGTCATATGCCTGCAGAACTAGGTTACCAGATAGCCTCTCGAAACTTCTGTCTCAGCCGACCCTCAGCCGCCAACATCGTCGACAGTCTCCCTCCCCTACGCTCTTATATTATTTGGCACCATTCTCATGGAAGGTGCAGGCCTGGTCGGTGAAACTCAGAGACGGAGATGAATCGCGCGCAGTGCGCAACATCAGCGCCTGTTATGCTTCTCCGCATCGTGATCACTGGGCATCATGCACCATAGGTCTCCAGGATACTCGGCAACCGCGTCATCTCCAGGGGCGTCCGAGGTATTCTTGCGAAGAATGTCGCCTCTACCGTCTTGCCCAGCATCAACGACAACGCCGCGTTCCTAAGCGATACATGGTACTTGAGCCCAACGATCCAGACGCGGCTTGAGTTAGTGCATACGGGCGCGGAGACCCCAGCCACGAGCGCTAGACGCACGTTGGGAAGGTACCCGGTTACCTATATCATGTATATAACAGTACGTGCCAAGGGAACCGTCAAGTCCTGAGGGTCATTGCTGGTTGCCCGTGATGTATTGCCCTAAAACATGAAACCTACCAGTTGCGAAGACAGCTCAATGCTCATTTCGCCCCAAGTCCACCTTCCAACGCCTAGTCCTGTCTCCATGTTGTATCAAACTCCAACTGAAAAAAGTCATTCACCAAAAGTGGTAGGTGTACGAGGGCCAAGTTCCTCTCATCCTCCTCTAGTCTTCTCTCCTCGCCTGGGAAGAAACATTCGTGTGAGATGCGAGTGCTCGCTTCTAAGCTGGTGGGCATGTCGTGACGTCGTGCCGTTCGTCCAAGTGAACTACCTTCTCTTTTTTTGCGGTTCTGCCATTCCCGCTCCTTCACAACCTTGTTTGATCCCCATATCATTTCCGTATCCAAGATGGCCTTTACTTGCCACGCCGTTGTTGTGGCGGTACGATAATTTATACAAATAGAGAAGAGATTCAGTCTCATCCGCATGTACTGTGCTGGACGATGAGCACCGACGAAACATCGTCTTGTTTGTAGTGTTCGTTTTTTTTTTCAAGCCCCTCGCGCACGAAGACTTGCATGGAGATTGTCTCTCATAGGATATTGCATCGATGGCCATCTGGTCGTCGTCCTTCGCCTCCGCTTGCGTTTCGCGAGACCCATGATGCCCGTGTCATTGTCGTCATCGCGGCCGTAGTTGTCCCTGCCATCGGCGTCTCTAAACCGCTCGTCCTTAAGAAGTAGTTGACGGCAAATGTCGATGAATACAGCATCGACATTCGCTGAGATCGACATTAGCACCTTTGTTACAAAGTTGAGGCTAGGATTAGCTTACTTCTCGTCCTGGCACTCGTCTCATAATACGGCGCATCCCACATCTGGGAGCAGGCGAAGGCCCTTTGGCGGGGCACAGCACGCTGCTCCTCGAGATCGGCCTTATTTCCGACGATAACGATGGGTACGTTTTCATCGTCTTTTATTCGAGTGATTTCTTCTCGTAACATCTCAATCTCGTTCATGGATGAGCCCGAGGTGATGCTAAAGACCAGGATAAATCCTTGGCCTGATTTCATGTACAGATCCCGCATGGCGACTGCAACCGTGTTAGAATTGAACTAGCATATGAAAGAAGACACATGCATACCAAACTGTTCTGTGCCGGCGGTGTCGAGACTGAAAAATTATGAATGATCAGACATGTGCATGCCAGTGCCGTACTGCTCAACTTACATTTCCAGGACAACCTGTCTTCCCTACAAAGAGGCGTTAGTCACAGGCCGAGATTGGTCAGAGAGATCAGCATCTTACATCAACTTGCAGTTGAGTTCGGTACGTGTCTTCGATTGTTGGGTCGTAGCTTTCAATCCACTCATTATGTACAAATTGAGCTGCACAGTCGATGAGTTAGACAGTGACACGGCATTAGGGGTGAGGTCATGTTCTGGGTTATCTCACCAGTCAAACAGCTCTTGCCGACACCTCCTGCGAAAGGGTCAGTCACCTAAAGACCTTGCAAAGACTATACTGCGCTTCTCACCGGCTCCTAGCACAACAACATGGAGCTCCCGACTAGACATCAGCAAAATCAGCATATGACCTCACAATCATGGGAAGACAGGACGGCGGCAGTGAAGCGTACCAGGACTGATGGTGCTTGTGACGAGACATGGCGGA